AGAGAGAGAGAGAGAGAGAGAGAGAGAGAGAGAGAGAGAGAGAGAGAGACTCTAGTTTCAATGCATCCTCTTCCAGTTCCCTTTGCTTTCTAAAGACTCCACTAAATTATACTTTTATGACTGAAATTATCTGAGGTACCTCACTAGCTCTCAGGATGTTCCTTGGACCCATAGTTATCACCTCTGTGGAGCTTTGCTTGAGTATTTTAGATATCAGTGTCCAGGAAACTCCCATCCTGGCCACTCTAATTCAGCACAGTCTCACTCAGCATATATCTCTAAACCTCACAAAACAGTAAATGCATGCATATTGGAAGATAGATAAGGGAAAAAAATCTGATGGAACTTGAGGTGGGTTACATGAGTGAGATCAAGGTGATGACTCTGCTGTGTGACATAGGAAAGGACAGTTTGGTCTTCAGGGACAGGCTGGCTCATGAGGGAGAGGCAGAAGGGTAGTATGTGGGCACCCCATTGGGAGTGGCTGAGGCCCAATACTGTGGCCACAAAGACAGTTGTTAGGGAGGAAGGGCATCATGAGGGGGTCAAAATGGGAGGACCCAAGGCTTGGGGATGCGAAGCAGAGTAACAAGGTTCCCAGAGCGTCACCCCTCTCCTCACCTCTAGGTGGCAGAACAGCTCATCAACCCCTTCGGAGAGGATGATGATGATTTTGAGACCAACTGGATCATTGACAGAAACCTGCAGGTATGAGGGGGTGTGGGGTGTGGAGAGACTGCGTCATAGACTCTTCTCAAAGAGGGATCCAAAGAGAGGGCACAGCAGTTTCTCAGGGAGACCGCACAGTAAATTGTCCTCCCCTCCTCTAACATCAGCCCCTCTCTCAGCCAGTCATTCACTCGCAGGATTCGCACCTCAACTCTGGAGGCTGCAAGTAAGCATTGTGTCTTTAGTCCCACAGGTGGGGAAACGGGTCCAGGGAACTAACTGACCATTCCTAAGGTATCAGGCAGGCTCATGGTCCTGCCTGGGCTGCCCATTCTATTGGATATTGCCTCTGTCCTTGGTGACCAGGTGTCCCTGTTGTCTGTGGATGGGATGCACCAGAACTTGCCTCCCATGGAGCGTGACATGTACTGGAATGAGACAGCGCCTCAGCCACCCTACACAGCTGCTTCTGCCAGGTCTCAGCGACAGTCCTTCATGGGCTCCACCTTCAACATCAGGTAGACAGTGCCAGGGGACTGGGTGGGAAACTTTTCAAGTGTAAACAACTTGGAACAGCTCTTGTTACTACACTGGGTGCCCAGTAAGGGCTACCCAGTGGGCTGTGCTCTACACTGGGTGCCCAGTAAGGGCTAGCCAGTGGGCTGTGCTCTTCACAGACATTAATTTTTTCCCTCCCAATAACCTTTGTTTGTTATCGTTACTCTTCAGACAATTAGGTACAGGCTCATAAGGGCTAATAAAGTTGCCCGGCCCAAAGTCACATAAGTGACAAAGGACACGTCTGAGCCAGCTATCTGGTTCTGTCTCCACACTCTCCCTACTTATTTTTGATTGGATTTTCTTGAGATGGAGTCTCATGTAGCCCAGGCTGGCTTGAAGCTTACTATGCTGGGGGATGGCAGGCAGACACCATTGCCTTGACTTTTGGTGTTTTGCTTTGTTTGAGACAAACCCATTACTATGTAGTTAAGGCTGACTTGAAATTCCTGACTAGCCCAGGCTGGCCTTGAATTCATATCCAGTCCTAGGAATATAGGTGGGAACCATCACACTATGCTCTACTTTTTTTTTTTTTTTAAAGACAGGCTTCTCTACATAGCCTTCGATGTCCTGGAACTCACTAGGTAGACCAGACGGGCCTTGAACTCACAGAAATCCTCTTGCTTCTACCCCCTTAAGTGCTGGGATTAACAACGTGCTGTGCTCCACTACACCCAGCTACCTCCATACTCATAACTCTCCACTATGCTGTGTTAGACCCTCCAGTCCAGTCTCTTGTGTACAGCCCAGAGAGAAACAGGACATTTCCAGGGACAGTCAGCGATAGATGATGGAGTGGGATGCCAAGACTGGCTTTCTAACTCTGACCGGAAAAAGGTAGCTTTTGCGTGGACCTGGAATTTTAGGAAGCCTGTGATGAAGGGGGCAGGGACAGTATTTGTAATAGAGTTCCAGTAGGAGATAGGGCCTCCTGAATAGACTGTCTTACAAAGGCCTCCTTACACCCACAGCAGCAGCAGTTTCCTCTGTACAATCCCATTTCATCCAGATTCCTCCTACATACAGTAGGCTGAATGGGCCTTCCACAAAGTGTCACCTCTGGCTGACAGAGGTGAACAGGCTCTGGAGTGTCTGGTGTATTTGCACACTGTACTAGAGTCCATTAAGTTGAAACTAGAAATAGGAACATTTTGGAAGATGTTTTTGAACCTGTTTCATCTGACCATTCGCCCCATCCTCCACCATCCCACGTCCCCTTCCCCCCTCCCCCCCACACACTGAACCTGGTGTGGCACTGGGTGAAGGTCCTGCATTCAGGGAATGTGCAAGCTAGTGAGTGGAGCAGGCCAAAGACTGGGTAGATAAGAACCGAAGTTGCCTTTGGCCAAGAGGTGACCTCCTCCTGGGCCTGCAAGTAGCTCTTACAGCCAGGGAAATTTTGGATGTGGGCAAGGGCCCCATCCAAAGTAAGTAAGCTTTTTCTTACAGATTAAAGGTCCTGGGGCCTCAGGAAGCCTGCTGCCAGGCCTTTTGGTGTATGTTACTCTCCAATGGGTAACATAAATTCTTTGTTCCAGCTGGGCCTTATCTGAACAGGCTTTACTGGGGGCAGAAGTTCCCATTGCCTGGAGGGAGATACTCTAACAGGAGGGTGCCTGATAACGAAGAGATTGTGAGATGTAGGAAATTACTGTTGGTTAAAGCAGGAATGCCTGAGTTTGACCTCCAGAAAAACATGGTGTCATTTGACACCATCCACTTGTAGCCTCACTGCTGAAGAGATGCCTGGAGATGGCTGGCCAGATAATCTAGCCTAATTAGTGAGTGTCAGGCCTTCGGGATGCCCTGTCCCAAAGAAAGTGGATGGATTTCTGAGGACTCAAATGGAGACTGTCCGCTGGCCTTCACACAGGCACACACAGGTGTGTCACTCACCTATGGACGCATATCAACTCTAAATGCTAGACTGGGAAGCTGGATGTTACCAGTGAGCAAGAGAAGAGCCTAAGGTGAACTGAGCCTTGTGAGACTCCCAGGGAAGTGCAGGATACATAAGGAGAGGTGAAGCCTTGGTCCTAGGCAGACATTTGCTTCCAGCTTTTCTTTGTCCACTCACTCAATCTTATGCATGTCTTTTCCTTCCAGCCTGAAGAAAGAAGACTTGGAGTTTTGGCCAAATGAGGATGACACCGATGACAAGAAAGAGACCGGTTATGACAGCAGCATTGGATCCTTCTTAGGACTGCAATCCAATGACCATTCTTCCAGGACAGACTTAAAGACCAAACTATTGGGTTTTAAGAAGGACTCTGTCCTCGAGGGCGAGTGTAAGAATGACAATCAGAAAGACCAGAAAGATAATGTCTGGAGACTTAAGGGTCTGGACATCTTCAGAGGTGTTCCAAGGTTTAAGAGGCCAAGCTTCCTTCGTGACCCATGGACATGTGGCAGAAACCCTCCCATGGTCTTCCCTCCTGAGCAGACAACACCCTCCAGTACTTACTCAGACACAGGTATGGACACTAAACACAAATGCTTAACACCCCTGACTTCTGAGACCAAGATCACTTTGTTTTAAAGGTTTATTTTTTTTTTTTTTTTTTGGGTTTTTTTTGGTTTTTCGAGACAGGGTTTCTCTGTGTAGCCCTGGCTGTCCTGGAACTCACTCTGTAGACCAGGCTGGCCTCGAACTCAGAAATCCACCTGCCTCTGCCTCCCAAGTGCTGGGATTAAAGGCGTGCGCCACCACCGCCCGGCTTAAAGGTTTATTTTTATTTTATGTATGTGTGACTTTGTATATATGCCATACATACTGGTACTCTCAGAGGCCAGAAGAGGGTGTCAGACCTGGAGCTCTAGTTGTAGGCACTTGTGAACTGCCTGATGTGGGTGCTGGAAATCAAACTCAAGCTCTCTGGAAGAGCAGGGAGTCCTCTTGACTGTTGACACATCTCTCCAGCCCCAAGAACACCATTGAATTGTTCCTAGGTGATGGGCCTTCCACAGAGTACCAAGAAGTGTGTCAGATGAGAAAGAAAACTGTGGAGTTTAACTTGAACATTCCAAGGAGCCCCACAGAACATCTTCAACAATGCCATTTGGACCAGCTGCCAACCAACAAACACGCTATACTGAAGGAGCATGTAGAGAGCCCTATCCCAACAGGTCTGTCCACCCAAAGAGTTGCATTCCCCATGATTCCATTACTACTGAGGTGTGGGGGAAACTTATATCCCTACACTAGCTGAGAATTAATACCAGCCACCTCGGAAAGAATCCCTTGATGGAGGCCTTTTGCTCACTCCACCTAAGAGCTTAATATCAGCAAGAACAATTCAAAGAAGTGAAATTGTACTGACAGAATGGTGAAATGATGGCTATCTTGGCAATCAGGGAGTGTGCCAGGCTGTTGAGACTTTTTGCAAGGATGGCTGGCCAGCATTTTTGCAGGGAGGCTTGAGACAGAACTGAGACTAGCTAGAATGTAGCCCAAGGACTAGCCTCACTACTTTTTTTTTTTTTTTTTTTTTTTTTGGTTTTTCGAGACAGGGTTTCTCTGTATAGCCCGGGCTGTCCTGGAGCTCACTCTGTAGACCAGGCTGGCCTCGAACTCAGAAATTCGCCTGCCTCTGCCTCCCAAGTGCTGGGATTAAAGGCGTGCGCCACCACCGCTCGGCCAGCCTCACTACTTTTATCAGCTAGATGGCAAATAAACACTTGTCCTTACCTAAGGACTCCCACCTCACTTCAGACATCGGCCATGGTCTCCTGGGTCTTAGGCCTTGCTTAATACTTCCAAAAAGCCTAAATGCTGTCACAAGCTTAATGTCATTTCTCATTTCTTGGGACACTTTTACCGAATTACATTCTACCCTCACCTTGATCACGAGTGTTAATTTCCCACTTCCACATTCCTGGTCTCATCTATGACCGGAACATTTTTTTCATAAGTAGAAGGGCACAATTTTCAGCTTGCGTCTAGTGTTAGACATTAACTTTCACAGACTATCCTGGTGTGTTTAAGACCAGCTTCCACCCTTGTCCTCAGTCAACTCATGCTATGAATCCTCTCAAATCTCCCACAGGGATGAAGCTGACACCAAACCCGTTTCCTATGAGTGATGCTTCACAGCCTGGTCCTCACCTGCACAGATTCCAGCAGGGCACGGACTCACTTGGAGGCACACAGCATCGATACCCAAGTGTACGGTCCCCAGGCAGTCTGGCAAGTAACTCAGAACCAAGAGTGCGTAGTCCTGTCTGAACACACCTGTATTTTACTATCTTTCCCATACTAAGGAGTTTAATAAACATGAATATTCTTTTATGTATTTCAGTGTGATTAGTATAACTGGCAGTGACGTAACTGGAAGCTGGAATACTTATCCCTCAATCACAAAGACAAGAGCTGGGTACCAAAATTCTTTATTTGAAGAAATGGTACAAATTAAAAGAACTTAAGCAGATGTTTTGGTGCAACTTATAGAAAAGATAAAGGCAGCCTGACATGCATGCACTGCCTCAGTGACCAGTGAAATCACATGGCTTTGGGGAAGTCAGCTTAGCTTTCATCACTGTGTCCCAGGGTGTGCTTGTCAAAGAGATATTCTGCCATGCCAGATTCAGGGGCTCCCATCTTGCGTAAGTTGGTCACGTGGTCACCCAGTTCTTTAATGGATTTCACCTGTTCGTTCAGGTAATGCGTCTCAATGAAGTCACATAACTAGGAAAAGAGAACATGAGACAAAGTTATTGGTCAGCTCTCTCAAGCCCTGTGGCAAATAAATCTCCTCCTCCATTCATCCCGTGTTTCCAATACTCACGTGGGGATCATTCTTGTCAGTAGCCAGTTTGTGCAGTTCCAGTAGTGACTGATTCACACTCTTTTCCAAGTGCAGGGCACACTCCATTGCATTCAGCCCGCTCTCCCAGTCATCACGGTCTGGTTTCTAAATGAAACCAGAAAGGTCAATTCATCTGCAGTCTCTACCGACTAACCCAAGTCAGTCAACACCTCACACTTAACCACTGTGCTCTGGCAAAAGGACTGCCCTCAATTCTAATAACGGCTTTCGCCTCAAGATATTTGGTAACTGCCATTTGCCAACATACAGGGGCAGAAGCCCCAGTGCGCCACCATAAAGGTTAGCTGCTCATTCATTTAAGATCTACCTACCTTTACATCCTGCAGGAAGATGCGGCCACCTCGCTCGTTCTGCAGCTTCATCAGTTTCTCAGCATGTTCCCTCTCCTCATGAGATTGGTGGAGAAAGTATTTGGCAAAGTTCTTCAGAGCCACATCATCCCGGTCAAAATAACAAGACTGTAAGTGGAAAGCGCACATGTTACTGATCCCCACAGCAAGGCAGCTGCGATGGCTGTAGGTGGTAAAGGCTGTCTGCCACCCTACTAGGCCTTTTAAAAGCACAGTAAGGATGGGAAAACAAACCTTGGGACTTGGCTTTATCAAGTGTCCTATGGCTCCGAATTAGTGAAGAGAAAAAAATTTAAGCCAAGGCCAAATCTCCTTGTCTGAGAGGGAGGGTGCTAGAGTACCCTGCATTGGGAGGCCATTTTTTTCCTCCTTCACCAATCATGTAAAAAATGGCTAAGACAAAGTCACAAGGTTTCCAGCTAGACAGCCAACTGCTAATTTATAAAGTTAATGCATCATGCCGGGTTAATAACTGAGAGCATTGTTCTTTAGCACAACTATATTAAGAGACGCTTTGATTTTCAGTTTTAGGCACTCAGTGTATTCCAGGAATGGCAGCCACAGAAGTCCAGGCCTCCCCCATACCTGTTTTTTCAGAAACAGAATTATTACATGGAAAACTTCCTTGCCCAGCAATTGATAGTGGGCTTTTCCCAACAAGTATATACCTACCACTTCTGTTAGTAAGCCACAACTCATGCAAAAAAAAAAACAGTACTCTAGATGCCTTTTAAGGGCAAGGTCGGGGTGACACTGATAACTACAGAAGGGGCGATTCCTAGCGATAAGTTTCAATACAAGTAAGGCTCTGTGATAAGCAGAGAGGTGGAGGCGGCTGCTTTAGAAAAGGTCAGAGTAAGCTCACAAGAGATAAGCCTCTTTATACCAGGCCCCAAGGCTGCCATTCGACACCGTGACCAAGCAGACCCGCGGTTCTCAGAGGAACTGGAGCTGGATGCATACCCAAACAGAGAAGCCTGCTGGCCACGTGATCGGAGGGGACGAGTGCAGAAAATGCACCTAACTGCAGAGTGGATTGGACAGGCTGACAGTCATACAGCCCTAAGGCTTCAAAAAACGGGTTTAATGACGTGCCTTGTCTATGCTGGAGTCACAAGGCGCAGTGTGCTCAGACTTGCCAAGGCAGGGCTGCCAGCCTTAGGAAAGAACCCCGAACAAACTCCATTTTCCAGAAAGGCGCTGGAAGGCGGGGAAGCCCGCAGCAGGCCACGCCCCAACCCACCCTCCGCCTGCTCCCCAGTGGCGCAGGGGAGGCCGCACCCGCTTCCAGCCCCTCCAGAGGCCAGGCCGCACTCACCATAGACAGATAGACGTAGGAGGCATACAACTCCAGGTTGATCTGGCGGTTGATGGCAGCCTCCGAGTCCTGGTGGTAGTTCTGGCGCACTTGCGAGGGAGACGCGGTGGTCATGGTGGCGGCGGGGCGAGGCGCAGTGGCGACGCTGGAGCGGCGGAGCGACGAAGTTGCAAAGGGCTCAGGCTCGAAGCGGCCGGCGGGGGTCGGAGGGGTCGAGCACCGGGTTCCGTTCAAGCACTGTTGAAGCAGGAAACCGCGGCGACTCTGGGCGAGAACGTCTGGCGCAGGGGGCCAGCGGGCCGCACTTATAGCGGGATCCTGCGTCAGGCGCGCTCTGGCCAATCATCGCGGCGGACCGCGCAGCCCCGCCTCTTCCTGTGGGCGTGTTGCCCAAACCAGCGGGGCGCGGGCGGGGAGGAGCTTGTGTGAGTGAGAGGCGACGCAAGGGGCCCTGAACTGCAAGAGCGGTGCCTAGCAACAAGCGAGCTGTTTCTGTGGCCCGGGGCGGGCGTAGTTGGTTCTAGCCGTACTGCAGAGGCATCTGGGTCCCAGATGGGGACAGAGGGTACCGATGAGGATGATTTTCAAGTCCCACAGGACATCCCTAAACTCTAGGCTAAGTGCATGTTGTTAAATCGTGACATACACCAGGCAGTGACTTAGTCTTACAAATAGGAAAATGGAAGCGTTGCGCTGTAAATGGTGAACGACATATGTTGGACTGGGAAAGAGCGGCTTTCTCTCCTTCAGAATCTGTGGAGAGAAGCTCAAGGGAGGAATAGGGAGACTACTGGGAGGGGAGGGGGTTCGGGTCTGCCCCGTTCTTCTGACTCAAGCAACCCCGGCTTTTTGCTGAAAGCAAACATGGCTCTGTGCACAGTTGAAAAAACAAAAGCTAAAGAAGGTGCATTTCTCCTTAGAGCAGGACAGCCATCTATAGGGGAATCCTGAGGCTAAACCATCTAGGTTTCTGAGAAAGCCCCTGGTAATGCTTGAAATTGAGAGGTCTCTGGATTAGAAAAATAAAGAAGTGACCTACATGTCTCCTTTATCTTTCTCAGGAACCTTGGGTTTGTCCTTGGAGAAAAGCTGATGCCGCAGAATGGCAGGTGACAGGTGCAGGAAACCGCGGAGGGACAAGCCAACTGTGTGTGTCTTGTAGCTTGTGGCCCAGCTTCAAAATGAGTGCGAATTCTTGGGTAGCAAGCATAACTAGAGATTAGCCACTACATCTTGCTAGGCCTTGCCATCCACATTTGCTACTCTCAGTCTTGTTTAGTCTTTTAACACAGGTGGAGAACCAGCAGAAGCTTTCCATATACTCAAAATTGGACGTTGGACATAGATTTTGTTGTTTTTTGTTTCGAAACAAGGTTGACAAGATTACTGGATCAGTAGTCCAGACTGGTCAGGGACGCTAAGTAGCTCAGGCTGGTTCATGATTCTCCTGCCACAGTTTGCAGAGAGATGGGATTACAGCCCCGTCTCTCCCCCTTTAAGGTAAGTCTACTGAAATACATTACTAGTGGTATCTATTCTTTTAAAAATAAACATTATGTATGTTCCTTTCAGAAAAGATTTCAGGGATACTTTAGCTGCGGGATGCTTCTAGATAAATATCCTTGAGTCAGACTTCAGGAAGACAGCCCTAAGAGACTTAAGCTGAGCTAAAGTTGATGAACAAATTCCCTTTGGAAAGTGGAGGAGGGAAGTGGGGAAAGGAATTCTAAGTAGAAGGAATAGCACATAAACAGGTGTGGAAATGCTTGCCTTGTTCAAGGAGCCTTAAGGAAAGTGTGTTTGTTGGCCAGAAAAAGTTCATGTTGACTGCTGGAAAGAACACAGTCAGATTGGTGTGCCATAAAAAGTCATTAAACTTTACCCTGTAGCCAATATGGAGATACCATATCCATTTGTTTTTTGGAACATTACTGTGAATCAATAGAAAAACTGCTAAGAGTCCAGCCAAGTCACATGTGGGATGCAAACTCTTTCTAACAATAACTATCATCAGAAAATATGACGAAAAACCAGCAAGGAGATGATGGTGGTGAGCAAATATTTTTCACTTACATCAGTAGCATATTCTCAAGTAGCAGGTAATAAGATCAACAGTAATATGAGACAAAACAAAGCGGTATTGAGGAAAGAAGGTGCTATCTTCCTGAAGGGTTCTCTTTTCATATTACAGTGCCAGCTCTAAACCTGCAATTCAACAGAGTCTGAAATGTGAAAATACAGTGTTTCTTTGGTAGGTCATGATTCTGAAGTTCATATGGCGTCAGTGGACTAGCTTGTAAACATTGAAGAAAACAAGGTGGAAGGTTGGCTTGAAATATCTGTCATATCATCACGTGTAGGATGCATATATACAGATACATATATATTACAATAAAATATGGTTTTGGTACTGACAGGAAGATGAGATCAAAATCAAAATATTCCCACCCACATATGTGTGGGAACTCGATATAAGTTAAAGGCATGCATTTCAAATTAGGGCAGGAAGAATGGATTTAACCAATAATATCAACACAGTTGTCATGTGGATAAAATGAATCACTCTGCATTTAAAAATACCTCCTAGGTGAATTAAAAATACAACTCTTTTTTTTTGTTGTTTTGTTTTGGTTTTTTGTTTTTTTTCGAGACAGGGTTTCTCTGTGTAGTCCTGGCTGTCCTGGAACTCACTCTGTAGACCAGGCTGGCCTCAAACTCAGAAATCCGCCTGCCTCTGCCTCCCAAGTGCTGGGATTAAAGGTGTGTGCCACCACCACCTGGCAAAATACAACTCTTAAAGTTGAAATCTATAAAGTTTTAAGAAGACTATAAAGAAGACTATCCAAATTTAGAATAGGGAATGTTCTTTTGAGTCTCTCAAAAGTTAGCCGGCTTGACTACTTAAAAATGAAAAGGGTTTATATGTAAGATATTTTAAATAAGGTTAACATAGAAACTGTGTTGGGCTGCTGGTTTTTGTTGCCCATAGAAAGGATGAAGATCAAGAGCCAGGATGTCTATGTACAATTATATATTTTTTCAGTCTTGAGGATGGAACCAGGGCCTGGGCATTCTAAGCAGGCTCTCTTCCACTGAGGTACTCCTGTTTAGTTTACTTCTTTCTTTTCTTTCTATTTAAAGATGGGATTTCATGGTGCTGTCTTGGCTAATCCTGAAAGCATATGCTCAAATGATCTAGTGCTCAGACTCCATTGTATCACTGTACCAGGCTATGTGATATCTGCATTAATCACACCTTTTTATAGGGACTACTTGGTTGGCTTCCCTACTACTGTAGGTTGAAAGCTCCAGGTAGGAAAACCATTTCTAGCACACACAGTCCATTACAAGGTGCTTGGTATTTTATGCTTGAATAAAATGAATGCATTTTATGTGGAGTTTAGATTCGAGTGAAGCAAGAGGGCTGGGTACCAGTTGGAAGACAGCTGCCATGATTTTTAATGAGCGTGGGAGACAGAAAGCTGAAGAGAGATATGGAGAAGACAGGGCAGACAGGATGAGGTGAATGGCTACATATTGTGTGGGTTAGGAGGTGGGGAGTGGATTCCAGGCCCCTCCAGTTTTCAAGCCTGGTAAGCTGGATTTGCTGCTGCCCTGCATGGTACCAGAGAATGCTGAGGGTATGCAGGGCTCTAAGACTGCCAGGTGAACAGAAATAATATAAAGTTAGATTCTCTGAAAGGAAATTGAGCTGCCACATTAAGTAGGTTTTGTGAATCAGAACTGGTTCCGTGCTTGTTAAATACATCCCTAGCTGCAGTAAACAGCAGGGCAAACCAGGGGACAGCTGTGGAAGGTCACTGGCGAGGGCTTGAAGGGAAATGGAAAGAATGTGAGTACCCTTGCTTGGGTCTGGTTCCCACCTTTTGGGAGCAGTGGGTGCCAAGCCTCCAGATTCTTCTGAAGATGTGGCCAGGGCCAGGTCTTTGGATCTTTGTTGACCATACTTCTGCCTCTCCAACACCTATGTTGCCTCCATTCCTCGTGACTTTGAGGAGGGAGTTTGGCTGGCTGCCCAGAACAAGTTGAACAGCAGCCTCCCAGGGCCAGGAGCCACAAAGCAAATGCAGGCCAGCAGAGAGGCAGGACCCTCTGTTCTGTAGAATACTAGCTCACATCAGTGGAAGAGAAAGAAGAGGAGGAAGAGGAGGAGGAGGAGGAGGAAGAGGAAGAAGAGGAGGAGGAGGAGGAAGAAGAAAGGGGAGGGGGTGTGGAATCTTGTGGAGGAAAGTTGTTGTTCCATTATGACTCAGCATTCTGCTCCTTTGGAGGGGTTGGGCTTGGGCTCCAAAAGTGCTTTGTCATGGAGGGGTAAGGCAGTCGGGAAGCCCTGGAGGGTTGTGGTTTTGTGGAGAGAGGGAGGGTGGAGAGGAAGAGAGCTGGAGGGGAAGGATGAGAGCTACTGACTTCCCCATAGCACTCAGAATCTTGACTGGGAATAAAGAGGTCTTGATCACCCTGCCAGGCTTTGGATATTTTTGCCAGAAAGGCTCTTGTGGGGATGTCTCAGCAGATAGTGAGTCTCTTTCCTTTCCAGTGATTTGTCCCTCTGCAGTTACAGCTGCCAAAGACTCCACATCCACTATTTGTACAGTAGGGTCCAAAGGGACACCAGAGTTTACAAATCACTGTATTTTGTAGGGCAGAGGGTGAGACCCAAAGGTGAGAATACCTCCCGGGAAACAGTCATAGACTGAAAATGTGGAGCAGAGTGTGCAATGGACTGCCCGGGCGACCATTACACATCAAGTGGTCCTTACATGTATGGTAAGTGGGCTGCCAGACTGTGCATATGGAATAATGTTCAGTGAGAAAATAGAGTCCAAAATAGTTCCTGCAAGCCAGTTAAGGGGAGGAACATCACAGGACTGGAAACAGATGAAGGCTGGGTGAAAATAGGTAAAGACTCTGAAAACTAAACAGCCAGTGTTGCAAAAGGATGGGATTCCCTGAGAAGTGTGCAGGAAATTCTGATATTTGCAAGTGCACCACTCAACTAGATTGCGGTACATTCTAGATGAAGCAACTGTCGTTAGGGAAATGATCCTTAAATCATTTCTCGAAAACTCAGGGCGTGTAAACTTAAAAGTCTTAACTACCCAGAATCCCTCTCTTCTGGAATCCTAAGGGGTGAGATTCACAGCCTGGAATGTTAGAGGACAACTGGAAATGGAAGCCCTGCCTCCCCCTTAAAAAATAAAAAATAAAAAAGTAATTCAGGGCTGGCAAGATGGTTTAGCAGGTTGAGGTGCTTGCTGCCAAGCCCGATGGCTTGTGTTTGATCTCCAATCTACATAGTAGAAGGAATAAACCTATTACTTGCAGGTTGCATGCCTTCCCTGCTGCATATAAAATTTAAAAAATAGTGAAAGATGTACCGAGAGTACTCATAAATGAAACTCTCAAAAAAAGAAAAGAAAGTAGTTCAGCCCTCTGTGCCTCTGGGAAGCCTTCTCAGTGGCTGGGGAGCCAGAGTGCTACACATCTGCCAGTGATATTATCGCTCTGTCCCTGGCTGTTTGTTTGCTTGGTCACCTTCCCTCTGGACTTTGACTAACTTCTTAAACTGAGTCTCCAGATAGCTACACTGCCAGAGGCCCTTCTTCCTCTTCAGTGGGTTGAAGCTTGTTAATTTTCCTCTAGTCTCCTACCCTGTGGAATGTCTGGTCACTACTTTGGCCTGTGGGCCTTTGGGGGCTTGAACTCTTGTCTCTGCTAGATCCCTACTCTGTCCTTCCCGGTATCGCTTGGATAGTTGCTCACATCCCGGAAGCTTCTAAAAGTTCACTCAGCCTCTGTGAGATTTGGTTTCTGTTTTGATTAGTATAGAGTATTTGAAGCCCAGCCTCCCCAGTACTTCCACCTACCCTGAACACTTGTTAGGATTAACCTAGAGCCAGATGAGAGTGGTAACCGGTAATGCAAATTTAGGTTACCCTAATTATGACATTCCAGCATAGTAGCAATTTTGTGAAGCAGTCGTAATAACAGAACCAATCAAAGCCATGAATCAAACTTTTCCAATATATTCATAGGAACCTCAGATAGATGAGTTATAGCAAAAAAAAAAAAAAAAAAAAAAAAAAGAGAGAGAGAGAGAAAGCTTTGTTACAGGCCTCAGAAACTATCTCATGATGTTCTTTGCTTTTGAGATGGAGGAAGCTAGGGGTTTATTCATGTGTTCCAAAGGATTTATCTAATAGCCACAAGGTTGTTAAACAAAAGGCATACACTAAATGGCCATTTAAAAGATAGCTCAAGATAATTTGCAGTGACTTTAGACTTGCAATACTCCGATCCAGAACTATTGACGGTCTAATCAGTCAGCCAGCCTTATAAGCCCAGCTTCTTTATGACTACTTTTTTTCTCGGTTCCCTCTACATCACAGTTCATGTCACATGCCACCAGCTGTTACTCAGCCACATGCTGCGCCTACTTGACCTATTCTAGGATCATCTGGACCCACTCTGAGGCCCAGATCAGCAGAAGTGACAGCCAGCAGCTTCGGTAGTGAGAAGAGCCCTGGCAAAGACCTCAGCGGCCTGGAAACACTTCCTTGAGGAAATGGCAGTTTTGGATGCCTTGGGCTGTCACCTAGTAGATGCTCCTCCATTCAGGGGAGGCCATACAAACTCAGTGCCTTAAGCAATGGTCAAGTTGAGGAGTTGATGGAAGAACCGTGAGTTAGCAGACTGACTGCGGAGCCTGGGAATGGGAATTCCAGATTCACTTTGGAGTAGTCGCAAGAAAGGGATGGACACAGCTCTGTGGGAATCTAGTTGGCAACCAGGTAGATACAAAGCAAACATAGGAATGACCAAGTGGGAAGTTCACAGAAGGTTTCACAGGTGAATGAATACCCAGGCAATTCTCTCTCTGACAAAGGTCCCTTTGGTGTCATCCTGAAGAACTAGCATATCTAGGTGGGCCATCAGATATTCAGGAGACAGGAGTTTCTGAGTGTCACATGAAAGAATCCGGATTCCACAGGCTTTACTAGATGTCCATTAGGGGTCTCAGTCATCATGGGGCCACTTGCAGGGTCCCAGGATCCTTCTAGTCTATCCATCCTAATCTTACAAAAGCAAACAGGAGCATTTCCCTTCTCAGATTAAAACCCCTGCAGGTGCTCACCCTAGGCTGGCTGCCTCTGGTGTTTATTTCAGAGGAGAAAACCTAGCCTTCAACAACCCCTGGCTCAGATAGCCTCTGCGGCTTCCCTTTTTGCCAAGAGAGAATTTCTAGCTTTTCTGCCCCTCTAGCATTTCCACTACACTGCCTTGCTAGAGTGACCCATCCTATGCCAGCTTTTGCCATTGGAAGGAGACTTGCCCTGTTCATCATGGCAGTACATTTCCTGCCCCTCACATCAGAACCCAGCAATTATGGAGAAATAGAGGTTGGCTTGACTTTGGCCTTAGGTCACTGTTTACTTTGCTGTTATTGAGGTCAGTCACCCCACCCATGGCCTTATAGGCTTCCCCATCTTCATTCAATTGAGACCAGCTCTTTCCGTTCCCACATGGGAGACATACAGAACAGGCCAGTCTTTCTGCGGTTGAGGATTACACCCTAGCACAGACCCCAGGATGTTGTAAGGCAGGGGCTCAGGACCTATGAGTTATGGGGATAGTGAAATGACACATGGTCACGAGCTCCACTGCTCTGAGGGCAAAGTCCCTTTGCTGACCCATGGATGCAGACTGCTTTCTCAACTAGAGGAAATCATGGACTGTCACAAGCCAGGGGAGGAAGTGGAGGATTGCTGTAGTTAGTTCATGACTAGAAAACACCACATGCTTCCTGGTAATAGAGACTAGAATGTTCTTAGGGTTCTTGTCACTCCATGAGTGTGGTGCTGGGCACTGTGCCAGAGAGCTTACACAAAGCTGTTGACACCTTATGGCTGAAACTGACAACATCCCTGTTGAGTAGGTTGGGCAGGTCCCAGTGCTATAGGCAGAGTCCTGTCCTCAGATGAGGAAGCTGAGGTCTAAGAGGTGGCTTGACCTGGCCTAAGGTTGCATAGCTGACAGGAGGCAGGGCCTTGCCTGGAACTTGGGTCTTCACTGTGGGGATATGTTCTAGTTGGGCATCTTAATGCAGCCATGGAGGTAACATCCTGAAACTTATGGCCTTGTCTAAAGGTATGGAGGAAGATCCCCCAGATTCTGGTTCCTGGAGACTTCTGAAATGTCATCATCTCTTGTAATTCACAGGAATTTCGATTTGGGCTGAGAGCATTAGTTCTAGGGCCCAGTACATACTCCACAAACCAAGGATGCTGAATTCTTTTAGTCTCCCCGCCACTCCCTTCTTTACAGGATTTGAAGTATACCAGCCTCACCTTTCAATATAGCTAACAATGATCTGAACTTGTGTCCCTCTGTTTCTACCATCTTAAATGCCAAGATTATAGGCATGTGCCACCAAAAGTGTTTTTATGCAGTGCTGGAGTTGGAACCCTGGATTTTATGAATGTAAAGCAAGCTGTCTACCAACTGAGTACATTACCAGACCTCAATTCAGATACATTAAACGGCATAGTGTTTGTACATAACTTAGGCAAATCTTCTCATGTATTCTCAGTATGTGTATGTTTGTGTGCCTGTGCACTTGCATGGGTGCATAAGTGCATATGTGTGCATGCATGTGGAGGCTAGAGGTCGACCTCTATTGGGTATCTTCCTCTATCATGCTTCACCTTATTTAGGTGAAGGGAGATAGGGTCTCATTGGACCTAGAGTTCACCAGTTTAGTTAGACATCTCAGTGAGCTCAAGGGATCTGCCTTTCTGCTCCTGCACCACAGGGATTATAGATATAGAACAGTATATCTGGATTTTTTAATATTAGTACTGAGGATGCAAACTCATGCCCTCATGCTCACTTGGCAGACAGTTTATCCAGTGGGTCATTTCTTCATCCCACCTCTTTTTAGAAAGATTAATTAAAATATATCATTTACTACCTCCTCCTTCTAACCCCTTTCTTGCCCCCATTCCTCTCAACTTTATGGCTCGTTTTTTCTATTATTGTTGCGTATATATCCAAATAAGTATATAAACACAACCTGCTGAGTTCCTTATGTGTTGCTCGTATCTATATGTTTTTAGAGCTGAGCAATTGGTATTGGATAACCATTTAGGAGCTCATCCCTAAGGGAAGACAAATTCTCTTCTCAGAATTCTCCATTCTTTCTTAATTGCTCCTTTAGCTCTTTGTATAGGGGTGGAACTCTGTGAGACTTCCCCCATCTATGTTGGCATGCCAACTTGTGTCACTGTTCAGGTTTGATTTAGGCAGCCATATTGTTGATATTTTATGAGTATAGGTTCTTAGTCATAGCTAGAAGACACATTGCAGCAGTGTCTGGGTCTCTGGCAATCCCAGTCTTTCTGTCCCCTCTTGTTTGTTGTTCCCTGAGCCTTGGGTGTAAGAGTTGTATTACAGATGTATCAGCTGAGGCTGGGTGCCCTCGCTGTCCTTTAAGACAGTGTCTCACTTTAGGTCAGGTTGGCCTGGTATTTATTGTGTTGCCCAGGCTGCTTTCAACTTTAGGGTAGTCGTTATGTCTCCAAGTTATGGGGTCACATGTAACCCACCACAGTGGGCCTCTCTCACAGACTTGAAGTCATGTCTAGTTTACTTACAATACTGACTACTAGGTAAAGCTGTGGAAATGGCTGCCAGTCTATTGTTCAGGAAACGATGACAGACAAGGGGAGAGTGGTTTTCTAGGAGGGAGCGGCAAACATGGAGGACCT